TCGACTGTGCACATAAGTGCTGACATGCTCACGTGTGCAATCTTATGAAGACAAGTTCACCATTCATGTCCGTCAACTGATCCGATACAAGAGAAGCTAGTTCCATATCGAAATCGAATTTACATCATCGCGCTGCTGACGTGCTGCTAGCGTGTCATCGTCGTATCGCGGTGTCTATGTTCATGAAGCTGCTGACGGACATATCCACGTCGTACACAAGCGGTCATGACGACACATAGGAGTAGCGCATATATGTCGCAGTATGATATCGGGGAGCAAAGCGCGGCATGAAGAGAGCAAAGATGTTCCCACACCGGGACTCGAACCCGGGTCTGCTGGGTGAAAGCCAGCTATCCTAACCGCCTAGACTTTATGGGAAAGATGACAAACGCACACACACAGACGGATACATCCATACTATCTACACACTCACACTCGCGACATACAACGGACACAGTCGTACGCACCACCGCATTCATCGCACAATACTGCTACCACCTCCACAGCACGCAAGAAACGGGGCAGCGCGAATGTTTGTATCATCGGATCCAGTGCCGTTACCGGTCACGACACATGCGTACAGCGTGTTCGACTGTGCACATAAGTGCTGACATGCTCACGTGTGCAATCTTATGAAGACAAGTTCACCATTCATGTCCGTCAACTGATCCGATACAAGAGAAGCTAGTTCCATATCGAAATCGAATTTACATCATCGCGCTGCTGACGTGCTGCTAGCGTGTCATCGTCGTATCGCGGTGTCTATGTTCATGAAGCTGCTGACGGACATATCCACGTCGTACACAAGCGGTCATGACGACACATAGGAGTAGCGCATATATGTCGCAGTATGATATCGGGGAGCAAAGCGCGGCATGAAGAGAGCAAAGATGTTCCCACACCGGGACTCGAACCCGGGTCTGCTGGGTGAAAGCCAGCTATCCTAACCGCCTAGACTTTATGGGAAAGATGACAAACGCACACACACAGACGGATACATCCATACTATCTACACACTCACACTCGCGACATACAACGGACACAGTCGTACGCACCACCGCATTCATCGCACAATACTGCTACCACCTCCACAGCACGCAAGAAACGGGGCAGCGCGAATGTTTGTATCATCGGATCCAGTGCCGTACCGGTCACGACACATGCGTACAGCGTGTTCGACTGTGCACATAAGTGCTGAAATGCTCACGTGTGCAATCTTATGAAGACAAGTTCACCATTCATGTCCGTCAACTGATCCGATACAAGAGAAGCTAGTTCCATATCGAAATCGAATTTACATCATCGCGCTGCTGACGTGCTGCTAGCGTGTCATCGTCGTATCGCGGTGTCTATGTTCATGAAGCTGCTGACGGACATATCCACGTCGTACACAAGCGGTCATGACGACACATAGGAGTAGCGCATATATGTCGCAGTATGATATCGGGGAGCAAAGCGCGGCATGAAGAGAGCAAAGATGTTCCCACACCGGGACTCGAACCCGGGTCTGCTGGGTGAAAGCCAGCTATCCTAACCGCCTAGACTTTATGGGAAAGATGACAAACGCACACACACAGACGGATACATCCATACTATCTACACACTCACACTCGCGACATACAACGGACACAGTCGTACGCACCACCGCATTCATCGCACAATACTGCTACCACCTCCACAGCACGCAAGAAACGGGGCAGCGCGAATGTTTGTATCATCGGATCCAGTGCCGTTGCGGTCACGACACATGCGTACAGCGTGTTCGACTGTGCACATAAGTGCTGACATGCTCACGTGTGCAATCTTATGAAGACAAGTTCACCATTCATGTCCGTCAACTGATCCGATACAAGAGAAGCTAGTTCCATATCGAAATCGAATTTACATCATCGCGCTGCTGACGTGCTGCTAGCGTGTCATCGTCGTATCGCGGTGTCTATGTTCATGAAGCTGCTGACGGACATATCCACGTCGTACACAAGCGGTCATGACGACACATAGGAGTAGCGCATATATGTCGCAGTATGATATCGGGGAGCAAAGCGCGGCATGAAGAGAGCAAAGATGTTCCCACACCGGGACTCGAACCCGGGTCTGCTGGGTGAAAGCCAGCTATCCTAACCGCCTAGACTTTATGGGAAAGATGACAAACGCACACACACAGACGGATACATCCATACTATCTACACACTCACACTCGCGACATACAACGGACACAGTCGTACGCACCACCGCATTCATCGCACAATACTGCTACCACCTCCACAGCACGCAAGAAACGGGGCAACGCGAATGTTTGTATCATCGGATCCAGTGCCGTTGACCGGTCACGACACATGCGTACAGCGTGTTCGACTGTGCACATAAGTGCTGACATGCTCACGTGTGCAATCTTATGAAGACAAGTTCACCATTCATGTCCGTCAACTGATCCGATACAAGAGAAGCTAGTTCCATATCGAAATCGAATTTACATCATCGCGCTGCTGACGTGCTGCTAGCGTGTCATCGTCGTATCGCGGTGTCTATGTTCATGAAGCTGCTGACGGACATATCCACGTCGTACACAAGCGGTCATGACGACACATAGGAGTAGCGCATATATGTCGCAGTATGATATCGGGGAGCAAAGCGCGGCATGAAGAGAGCAAAGATGTTCCCACACCGGGACTCGAACCCGGGTCTGCTGGGTGAGAGCCAGCTATCCTAACCGCCTAGACTATATGGGAAAGATGACAAACGCACACACACAGACGGATACATCCATACTATCTACACACTCACACTCGCGACATACAACGGACACAGTCGTACGCACCACCGCATTCATCGCACAATACTGCTACCACCTCCACAGCACGCAAGAAACGGGGCAGCGCGAATGTTTGTATCATCGGATCCAGTGCCGTACGCGGTCACGACACATGCGTACAGCGTGTTCGACTGTGCACATAAGTGCTGACATGCTCACGTGTGCAATCTTATCGAAGACAAGTTCACCATTCATGTCCGTCAACTGATCCGATACAAGAGAAGCTAGTTCCATATCGAAATCGAATTTACATCATCGCGCTGCTGACGTGTGTAGGTGTCATCGTCGTATCGGGTGTTATGTTCATGAAGTGCTGAGGAAATAGTGTAAAAGGGTAGAGAAAAGGGGTGGGTCTAGCGTGGAACGAAGGGGGTTGCTTCCGATGACTGGCTTGTATAATGATACGGTACATCCGTGTTAGATAGATGCCGTATTTACTCGTTGAAGCGTTCAGCAGAATGCATATGAGGCTTAAAAATTTGTATAGATTGTCAAATTAGGGAAGTTTTTTCGGATTTGATGATACAGGGCTCGCTGAGTGACATCGTTATATTTGATAGTTTTAGTCGTAAGGGTCGCCTAGCTTACTTTTGCCATTCACGGAAGGTACTAATTGAAGCAGAACTTTATTGAATGGACGCACAAATACGTTTACTGAGCACGTCCTAAACCATGTGATGCAAGATGGTGGACATGTTATAAGCCTATCTGCGCGGTTTGCTTAGTAGTTGTTGTCTCTATGAACCATATAAAGTAAGCAAAGTGCGATTTCGTTCGATCGGAACAATTTGGAGATCCAGATGGAGGACTGAACAGAATTCCTACCATCTGTTGTAATCTTCCACAGCTTCGTAATGTCAGAAAGGACCAAATCCGAATTTTCATCGCATTTAAGATTTGACGGGAGTTCAAATCTAAGTAATGTAGTGTAAGGTCCGATAGGCATAAGATTTACTCGAAAGGTACGGAAATACGGATGGTCAAAATCAGAGCTCTTGGCTGGTACCAACGTAGTTTATACAGCCTTTACGAATAGAACACCCAATCCATCCAATGATGAGGCACTTTATTCGTGCAAGCGTGCCAACACCCGGATACAAGGTGTCTCCTTTCTGCTTGCTGCATGTCACGTTCTGATATATTGTCACGGGGCGTTCAACCCATAATCGTAACATTGTGAGATTGTCCACACTGACGACAGTGTAAACAGGTGACACGTAACCCCACTTTCACGTACGTGCAAGGGTAACAAGTAGACTAACACGAAAGTGTAAATCGAAGAAAACAGTAAAAGTATGGCTAAGCTTCATTCGGTTGATCGATCTAAGTCTTCCTTATAGAAGAAACTTTAGACGGTCGGTAACCATCCGCTAGCTACACAGTGCACGGGTTGGTAATTGGTTGGCCGCTTTTTTCGTTGTCTATATTGACTTAAGTGCAGAAGTCACTGAGTGAATCCTTTTAAGTAATAACTGAGAACAGTATCGGAAAAGATACAATCCACACGGACATTTATCAGTTTCAATATCGTACAACGAGATCACATCGTTTGCATTCATGGTATGCTGTCCAACATCGTACTCGATCCGTCACACGCAAACAGTTGAGCCGTTGCCACATCGATCAAATGAGCCAGCAACCGGCAAGTAGCCATATGCGATCTAAATGCTGAGTCGAGACAGAATGTTAAAATGCTTCGCTATATTGTATCAACGTACTGGTGCGCGCTAAATAGGAGTCCATAGCAGCGTAGGTAGGATTTGTGGCACCATTCAGTGCAGAGTCGGACGATTCTAAGCATTTCCAATATTACGAGAATGCGCCAATCTTGAAATGCAAAAGTTGTACAGTGCATCAATCGGCCCTTATAGCACATCCAAGTCCTGCAGTTTGTCTATTCGGCAGGCACACCCTACTCAAAGGACCGCGAGGCAATGTGTCATTGTGTTGACTTGACACTCTTTCGCCACATTTCGCTACTTCTTTCGATTGCAAACGGCCTCTTTAACGATTCGTGTTCGTTCATCCGCCCAGCCAACTACGTGGCTGTTTTTCTACTAAAGTTGCGGACAGAGAACGCACGACAGACTGGTTACATCTCCCGTACAAATCGATCGGATCGAATCAGAGTGTACCCATTATAGTCAATGCATAGCAAATCAATGCAAAAAGTGCGAGAAAACACGACATGCAAGACGCAAAGACGTTAGCAGCGCTATCCCTTCGCTGCCAGGAGTTGCTGGACGACGGGACAGCGTCTGCACTCCGCAACGCAGTGGACGTAGCTCAGGCTTGCTTGGGCCTCGACAAGACGAATCTCCAGGGGTTTCTCCTGCTCGCTCGAGCGCTCTCTCGACTGGGCAGACACGAAGACGCTGTGGCTTGGTACAAGAGCGGTACACGTTGCAGCTTGTACTTTGCACCGATTCTTCACACGTTCGTTGTTTGATAGTGCTGTACTCCTTACGCTGCTGCTGTGTCGCTGTGTGTTGCGAGACTAGGACTTGAGCTACATCCTGGGAATGAAGCGCTTCAGACGGGGCTGAAAGAAGCTCGAGTGGCCGTTTTAAACAAGTTACTCGACCAAAGTGACGAGGAAAGCGAAGGCGAGGCGCTAGTAAGCAATGAACAGGTGGGCCAAGAAAGTACAAAAGCAGCTTGTGGCGATCGATTGTGCGCGACCGAGAGCAGTTTCGCGCGGAGTGGCCAACAAACTCAAACACACCGAGAATTGACACGTCAAAGTAAAGAGAGAGCAGTGCAAGGCGGGAAAGAATCACGGTCCATTTTGTTTCAATCGAAGATGGAACGCGTCTTGGCACATCTTGATGTCCTGAAGCTGGCGCGACTTGCGGCTGTATATGTTTTCTCAGAGCTGTTGAATCTGCGACGTGTGGCAATTGGTCTGGGACTCTTCGTTCTTGCATTACTTGTACAAGCAGTTATGCATCGACAGAAGATCATGGTGATATCGATGTTAGTGGTGTGTCTCTACCGCACGCAGCTTCGGAAACGTGCCATACAATTTGCACATGATTGGGTGGATACGTCTAACGACAAGTTGGGCGCTTTCACGTGGGCTCCGCGGTTTATTTTTGTAGTCCCAATGCTCATGAAGGTGTTTGGACAGTTGAAGTTTATGCTTTTCTTGCAGCAAGACGTGTGGTTGATAGGCATAGTGCTGGCTGTGACAGCGGGGCTCGTAGCCAACTCACTGGGCAGTGTGGCTGGACACCAGGCTAAACTGTGGGGTGAAGGAAGACGACTCAAGCTCGCTGCATATTCCACGACGATCGTCTATTGGGTTATATGGCGTGGCCATTGGGCTGATATGATTCGACTGCTTGGGCCTGCAGTCATTGACGCCGCCGGAATTGTGTTGGGCTCTGTTACGTCATCCGAGCTGCAGGAAGTATGTCGGCGCGCGTTGAATACGCTTTTCAGCGAAGTTGGAAGTGACATTCAGGCTGATGTTGATTTAGATGCGTGGTTCTTTCTGGGTCTAGGAAATTGGATCGTAGAATACTGGCAACAGCCTACTGACTTTTCGTTAGAAATGCTGTCGGCGATGCTGACGGAATGTTTCGACTCTATGGAAGTAGCAGCGGTACATACATTTAGTCCTGAGCTACGTCGATTGCGAGATCAGCTTCGACATGCGGAAATTACTGACGAGCTTCAACTGCTGGTAGCTTATTTGAAGCAAAGCTTTAAAGCCATCCCGCCCCCAAAGTCGTTTGGCATGGCAGTATTGTTTGCGAAAAGATGTTCATCATTTGTAGCTTTCGGCTATCTCGCCGTATCATTTGGAGTCATTTCACTGCCGTTGGTCCCGTTCGTTGTGTCTGAGTATCAAGATGCAAAGTGTCTGTATGACCGCTATCGCACAGGAAGACTCCAAGGACACAACGGATTGGAGCTGATGTTGCTCGATTCACCGCTCATTCATGTCTGGGACAACGTCAAGGGATGTATCTACTGCTTGGAAGGAAGCGTCACGTTCTCCAAGGCGGTTGTGACCGGAACGCACCTTGTGTCAGCAGCCGCGCGGGTCAGGTGAGCACTGTAAAGTTTTTGGTCGTATCTGTAGGTGGGCAGGTAATCTGACAATCGTGCTGAAGTCGAATGACAGCGTTTGCATCTCGTGTAAAGAAAGAAGGAGTCTTCGCAAACGCTCACGAGTTTCCAGACCACATCGCGGATGCGTTTCTTGTCTCGAAAGATTCGAGGTATGTTTTCGACACTAATGGTCATTCATTGTTGACAACTATCACGAACATTCCTTGGCACTTTATAATTGCAGTTTGGTCATCGAGGGCGTGCGCTACCTCCGCGACAGCGCTCAGCTACAAGACTTGCAAGCTTTGATGCTTAAATGGTGGTCATCGGGACGTGGGAAGAAAGCATGACCGGATGCTTGCTAGTATCGTTACTCAAACCACGCGAACGTCACCTTAAGGCATATATTTTCTATGTATGTGCGTGAAGCGGAGATAGTAGGACCACCTATGAAATACGTCTATGTTGCGTCCCCAGCAACCGCAGCTTGTACCGCTCTCATGTTTTTCGTCTTCGTTTTTCTTCGTGCCGGCAGCCGTTGCTGGAGAGTTAGATCGTCGACTTAGTTAAAACGACGCTTTTGGTTGAAGCGCCTCATTTCCAGGATTGCTGACGAAAGCGGCTGCTCACTGTACTCGCCTTTTATCCAAGGGTGGTCCAACGCTTGCGCTGCGCCAAAGCGATCCTGCGGCGACACATTGAGCAGGTTGCGGATCAAATCCTTGGCTGCTCGCACCAAATACACGCACAAAGGTCTTAGTCAGACGATGCCCTCACGTTACAGCTTCGCGTGTCATGTTATGTACCTCCGTCCGATACATTTGTCCAGTATGGGTGAGGGAAGTCCAATACGCCAGAGCGGATTTTAAGATACACCGACTCCAGTCCATTTTCATCTTCCGCAAATGGAGGGAAACCGCACAACCTAGACGGACATCACTAGCGTTAATGCATGAACGTAACCACGCCATTCAGCGCCGACAAGGAGTTTTCGCTTACATGATGTACAAGACGACACCAAGGCTCCAAAGGTCCACTTTGCTGTCATAGCCTTCTCCGTTCAAAACCTCGGGCGCTGGAGGCAAAAGTGTCAACATTTTGACGAATACAAGACTAACCACCCACGCATCCACTCACCAACGTAATAGTCTGTCCCGCAGCTCGTGTACGCGCGACCTCGAGAACGTGCGCTGTCATCTTCGTCTTCCAGGATTTTGGCAATGCCAAAGTCGCTGAGCTTGATATCGCCGCTGTCTCCACTGGCAAGGAGAATGTTCTCCGGTTTGATATCGCGGTGCAGAATGTGGCACGAATGCAGGTAGTGCAGGGCCTGGAGCACATTTGTGACAATCTCTGCCGCTTGTCGCTCCGAGTAAACGCCCACGCGCACGATGCGATCGAATAGCTCGCCCCCAGTGACTCTACAGAGCGTCCATCACCAGTCATTTAGTCCACGAATCAAAGTTCCGGCGTACCTCACATTTACGTACCTCTCCATGACAAGCAGGAGCTCTTGATCGCTCTCATAGACCTCTTCAAGGCTAATGATGTTGGCGTGCTTGACCCGCAGTAACACTGTGATCTCGTCCCGCAGCGTCTTCTTCTTGACACATAGTGCTTTGTTGATGACTTTGACCGCAAAGATCTGCTGCGTCTCTTTCCGCCGGCAGAGGTACACGAGCGAAAAGGCGCCACGACCAATGAGGTCGCCCACGTCGTACAGCGAATGGAACATGGCCACGCTGTGCACGTCCGCGAGTCCCTGCGTGACGAGGTTGTCCTCTTCTTTGCGGAAAAAAGCAGACAGTGGGGGAGCTGTGGACAGCACAACGCACGCAGACACACACACAAAAGAGAACCACACAGCCAGTGCCTCACTCGTAAGCAACAGACGAACGACGTGGAGGCGACGGTAGCAGACTCGAAGAAGAAGAAGAAGAAGAAGAGACCGACCGACCTTTGAACGCTGCCATGGCCGAGTGGGGACTTAGGGGCTTTTTCCTGTATGCAGCCCGCGGATCCACGAGCGCAGGGCGGGAGATGATCTCGAGGCGATGATGGCGAGGCAATGCGCGAGGGGGCAAAGACGGACGACTGTCGTCGGGCCGCGAGCACGCGGATCTGACTGCAAGTCGAGGAGACGTCTCTTGCACGGGTCGCGTCGGACTTAGGCGGACAGCTCCGTCGCTCATTGGTGGAAACGGGCCAGTCCACCATTTTCGTAAACGAGGCAGAGAGGTGTACGAAAAACGCGACAATTAATTGGAAAAAACAACGACACGGACGGACATAGAGAGTCGCGCCGCAACGGCTATTGTGACCCCAAGCCCGCGTCTCGATGGCAAAGCCGTGTCCGTCTACTTGCCCGAGCTTCGTGTGGACCATCTTGTACGCGCGTTCCGTAACGTCGAGAGATGGGGGACACGCGAGGCGTCTGCACTCAGCGCATGCCGTGCGTAATGGTAACGAGCACGACCGAAAGGAGCGAGACCCCAAGCACGACGTAGAGCCACGCGTCGTGTGCAAACGGACTGGCAAAGCGGTTCGTATGGCCAGACACTGTGCTCGCAGACGTCGGGCCTTCTGCCGCTATCGGCTGCAGGTGCGTATAGTCCACTGCTAGCCGGTGGCGCAAACTGTAGACGAGACACGTGGGGACAATCCACTGCTCGCATCAAAGCACAAAGGCACAGGTCGCGCGGTTGTAAGTGCGTACCAGTGAGAAAACCCCAACGAGCCACGAACTCACCCGGCCACGTACGTACCTGAATGCCCAATCCGGCGTATGTGCCTGTGAATCCCACGAGCATCGACACATCTTCAGTGAAAAACGCCACAACGAGTGGCGGCAGAAGCGCCACGAGCGCGTATGTGTTGAGTTGTAAGAAATGGCACAGGCCACGCGGTGGACTGGCACCGGTCGCTGGCCTTGACTCGACCACGCGCGATGCGAGGTGGCGAATGTTCTCGCGCAGCGTGATACAGATGAGCGGGAAGCTCGCGCTGCGGTCGGTGGTCCGTTTATGAGCATCACGAGTTCAGGTATCACAATAGAGCGGAACGGTTGCACGCACGGACCTTAGCGTAAACACCGGGAAGAAGCTGAGAAAGTATCCAAAGGCCTGCACCGGGTAGTTCTTGAAGTTGAGTGTGTACACATCCTTCGCAGCATTCACAGCGAGACGAGTGAGCACTGACCAGTAACAACATTGCGTTTGCAACCGCACCTCGACGTCTTCTGGCTTGAAACGGAAGGTCGCCGAGGCGCACAGCACGAAATAGACTCCGAGGACCGCCTACAAGTAGATACATTCCGCCGCAAGTTTACCGTTAGAGATACGATAGGTAGACATGAAAGCCGAACGGTGCAATGAACGTACCACGAAGGCCGAGATCAAGACTGTTCCGACTTTCGCTTTGTTCGTAATTGGTGCTACGAGGCCTGGAACGCTGCAGCACATCCAAGAGCACAGCAAGGCACTGAGTACCAGTGTTCCGAAAGCAGCAGCAGAATAGATGGCTTGCATACCTGTGATGGCACATGAACGAATAAATGCACACGCCGAAAAAGGTAGCGATGTTTGAGGGCTTTTCATAGCTCATGACGTCAGCCACGCTGCGTCCGTGGCCTCGCGCAACGCCGATGCTCGCCAGCACAATCATGAGCCCAAACGATGCGTGGCGGACAAGAGTGGACACGAGCTGAAGCGCCCGCGTCTTGTGCACGTGGCCAAATGTGAACGGGCCGAGCAGCAGTCCGAAGAGCGCGACAAACAGACGGTATAGCTCGGAGCTGTTGAGCTTGTCCGAGCACGCCCAGACGACAGCGTCGGCAGAAGGACGCGGACAGACTATCTCTCGCAGAGACTTTGGGACGGCTGTAGCACCACCACGCACCCGAATGCACACGTCAATTGCGACAATCGTTAGTTTGCCACGGATGCACATCCGTCGTGCAGCCACGAGTCGTGAGCATACCAACAGCGTAGATGGCCAAATCGCCGTACAGGTACACTGTGATGCACGCGTAGAACGCAACAACACCCCGGTCGCTGAACAGCAGCTCTGCCATCTCGGCCAGTTCCACCTATACTCCCATAAACCACACCGCTCACGTGAGTGCTTTTCTACCACCCGCCACCTTCCACACCGCACCTTCTTGGACAGCGTGAAGTGGAGCTTTGGCTCGCTGGTCTTTGCTCGCAGGTTCTTCGTCAGCACATCGTGTTGCTACAGGACCAGACACACAGACACAGACACAGACACAGACACACGTCGCATGACATGAGACCTGCTGACCCACGAAAGCATCAGTGCATGCAAAATGTACTTCGTTGACGACCATTAGCGGCACAAACTCCGTGTGCGCGTCGCTGTCCTCGCTGTCGCTGCGCTCGTCCAGCAACTGCTTTTCGTCGTCGGTCGTGCCGGTAAGTGCTCCCAATCCACTCTTGCATCGCTGCAGTGCGTTGACGCCGGCAATAGCTTCGACCATGAAGGTGGCCGTCACGTAGCTGATTGAGGCCAGGACGCACAGGGCGACGGACCCATAGACGATGCCGACCTAGTGGAATCGAGCAAGAGACTCGGCGACGTGAGAGGGGGAGACAGAGAGACAGAGAGAGAGTGCGGTGTAGGAACCGAGCGACGGACGTTGGCGAAAGCGTGCGGAATGGTGAGCGCCCCGGCGCCTACAATGAGGTTGAAGATGAAGACGAAGCCTGTGAGAGGTGAGTAGCTCCCGATACTCGGCCTGTCGTCGATCATCGTACGGAGCGAATCTGAATATGGTGATGGGTTCAGTCCTCGGATATTCTCGGAAATCCACGTCAGAGAAAGCGCTCGAGCAATCGCCTTTTCGCCGTAAGCATAGTCAGTAGTATGACGTGTCGTTCTAGTGGTCACGTAGTTAGTAAGAACTTGGTCGGGACAAAGAGTGCAATTACCACCTCTCGGCATTCGTTGTATTGCTTCTTACTGCACACGCACGCAGCTTACTAGTGCGAAATGGTACTACCTGGATGCACCAGCAGCGCTTCGCTAGTGATATTACAAAAAGAGCGACACTTCACACTGCTACGAGGCATCTGTATCTCCTTCGCTCGATTCCTCCTGTAGACTCGTCCAAACGTGAGGCGCTTAAGCATTGTTCTTCTTCATCACGTTCAGCGCGCTGCCGTGCTTAAACCACTCAATCTGCTCCTCGTTGAACGTGTGGTTGACCGTGATGTCAAACGGAGCCTCACCAGAGGCAGGGGTCACGCGCAGCGTCAGCGGCTTGCCCGGCGAAAAAGTCTTCAGGCCCAGGATAGCCACCTTGTCGTTGCCCGTGATCTTGTCATAGTCCGCCGGGTTCGCAAACGTCAGCGGCAGCATACCCTGCTTCTTCAGGTTGGTCTCGTGAATGCGCGCAAACGACTTCACAATCACAGCAGAGCCACCCAGGTGACGTGGTTCCAGAGCGGCGTGCTCGCGCGAGCTACCCTCACCGTAGTTCTCGTCACCAATCACAACCCATCTGCAGCCACTGGCCTTATACTGGCGGGCTACGGCAGGCACCTTGTCAAACTTGCCCGTGAGCTGGTTCTTTACATTGTTCGTCTCGCCGGTCTCAGCATTCACAGCACCGATCAGCATGTTGTTCGAAATATTGTCCAGGTGGCCACGGTACTTCAGCCACGGACCGGCCATGCTGATGTGGTCGGTGGTGCACTTGCCCTTTGCCTTGATCAACACCGGCATATCCACCAAGTCCTCACCACTCCACTCATCGAACGCAGACAGCAGGGCCAGACGCTCGCTCTTCGGATCGACGTTCACCGTCAAACCCTTACCGCTAGCAGGTGGAGCTAGGAACGTTTCCTCACCGGGGTCAAAGCCAAGCGGCGGGAGCTCCTTGCCAAACGGAGCAGAAAACTTAAAGTCCTTGCCGTCCGGGGTCTTGATCGTGTCGTTTGCAGGGTCAAATGTGGTGATACCCGCAATGGAGCTAACTGTCACCAACTCGGGAGATGTTACAAAGCTGTGCGTCGCCGGGTTGCCATCCGCGCGCTTGGCAAAGTTACGGTTGTACGATGTGAATATCGAGTTCTTCTCACCCATAGCCACGTCAGTACGGTTCCACTGGCCGATGCAGGGGCCACAAGCGTTGGCAAGGACAGTAGCACCCGATTCAAGGAACGTGTCGAGGATGCCGTCGCGGGCAATGGTGGCGCGCACTTGCTCCGAGCCAGGCGTTACGTAGTATGGTATCTTGAACTTCAGTCCCGCCTCCTTCGCCTGCTTCGTCAAGTCAGCGCAACGTGTCATGTCTTCGTAGCTCGAGTTCGTGCACGACCCGATCAGACCAGCGCTCAGCTCCGTGGGCCAGTCGTTCTTCTTACTAGCCTCCTTCATGTCAGCACCAGCAACGTGACCAAGGTCGGGCGTGAACGGACCATTCACCATTGGCTTCAGCTCGTCGAGGTTAATCTCAAGAATATGGTCGTAGTGAGCACCCTCATCAGCCCGGAGATTGGACTTGAACGACTCGGCAGCCGAAGCAATGCCACTACGTTTCGTAGAGCGTAGATAGTCGCCCATACGGTCAGTGTACGGGAACGTCGAGCACGTGGCACCAATCTCGGCACCCATGTTACAGATCGTGCCCATACCCGTGCATGAGATGGACTCTACGCCAGGGCCGAAGTACTCTACAATGGCACCGGTTCCGCCCTTGACAGTCAGCATGTGAGCCACCTTGAGGATCACGTCCTTTGGTGACGTCCAGCCCGAGAGCTTACCAGTGAGATTTACACCAATGACCTTGGGCGCCTTGAGCTCCCAGGGCATTCCAGCCATCACATCGACCGCGTCGGCACCGCCGACGCCGACAGCGCACATACCCAGACCACCAGCATTAGGGGTGTGCGAGTCCGTGCCAATCATCAGACCGCCAGGGAACGCGTAGTTCTCAAGGACAATCTGGTGAATGATACCACTGCCAGGTTTCCAAAAGCCCATGCCGAACTTGGCACCAGCTGACGACAAAAAGTCATAGACCTCCTTGTTGATGATTTTGGCATTGCTCAAATCCGTGTCCGAGCCCTTTTCGGCCGTGATCAAGTGATCACAGTGGATCGTCGTTGGCACTGCTGTCTTGGGCAGACCCGACGAGATAAACTGCAGCACGGCCATCTGCGCCGTTGCGTCTTGCATGGCCACGCGGTCAGGGCGGAGCTTCAAGTACGTCTCACCGCGCGTGGCCTTCACGGTCGCGTCGTCCAAGTGGCCGTAAATGATCTTCTCGGCGAGCGTCAGCGGCTTGTTGCTCATGGTCTGGCGCACCGTGTGGAGGTTCTTCTCCATCTTTGCGTACGTCTCGTCAATCGTGGGACTGCCCTCGGGGTCAAGCACCGACAGCGGCACGGAGGGAACACTGCAGCTGGATGACAGACAGGCCTACAGAGAGACACGAGCACGAGAGCAAAGAGCAGAGACGATCCCGTCTTGTCAGTAGATGCGTGTTCAGGATGCAGGAGCAAGGCGCCGAGCGTCGTCCGCCCTACAGCGACTCCATCAGACGCACCTGAGTGGCCCTTGTCCGCAGCTGCTGCCGCGCGGCGCGCGCAGTTGACGAGACGGCGTACATTCGGGTGCAGCAGAGACGGGTGGAGACGTTTGGTATCGCGAGGAGATCCCGAAATGGACCAACGGAAGGGTGGGTGGGGTGGGTGGGTGGGCCAGACGTGTGAACTGCGGGGCTGAGTATGGAAATATAGACGTCGTCTCGCCTGGATCGAGGTCGGATTCAGCCTCGGCTTTCGTGTCATCTCTCTATACTTGGTATTGACAAACGGTCACGGGCTCGTATTCACTTGACTCGTGTCCGTGTGAAAACTCCCTTGCGGACAAGCGGAATATGCACTTTGACAGGTACTTCGGTGTTAAGCTTTGTCATATCTCGTTGCGCTATGTCCCGCTCGATTTATGTGCGAAAGAGGATCCCCACACGTACGTCAGCTCTTTGGTCACAAGTCCTATCGGTCGGTTTCGTCCTGTTTCGAGAGACTTTCAAGGGTCGTCTGCCGGAGCTGATGACATTAAATGAAGACATGAGAGTCAGAGGTCGTCAAGGCTATGTATCCCGTACGAGCAGACGCAATCGAGTCGAGTCGATCGTTCTCACTAGTGCAGCGAGGCATACACTTACGTGGCCGAGTACGTGGTGCGCTCAGACACTATATGCGCAACGAAGACAGTGCTACCGCCAGCGCAAGTGGTGCATGTGCCTACACTGACACGTCCGCGCAGGCGGTGAGTCTCAGGTCATACGCCACATCCTTTCGTCATATCGACAACATAATTGTGTGTTCGACATGTCAGTCATAGCTACTGCACTTGCCTTTATGCTGTCCGCGCTGGTTTCGCAGCATAGCGCGCTGGCCCTCGTCGGCTCTTTGTCGCTCACTTTAGTGCCCCGTCAGTACACAAGCGACGCGACCAATGACGGATCCGTTGGAGGCCATCTTGGCGTCGATGGCGGCGGCTACGGGCAACGTAACTGCGCCTCAGACGGTCCGATCCGCCGCCACTCCAGCTGCAGCACCCAAGTCGAAGAGTAACAAGCGCGAGCGCGAGGCGACCGTCTCGTCCTCGTCGAGTATCTGGAATCCGCTGGAGGAGATGCCGCTGGACGCTGATGCTCTCAGGAAACTAGAAGAGGCCGCTAAGACACACACAGTCACTCCGTCCATGGAGATCATGCGGCAGCAGACCATTCGTGGTCTCTGTCGCAAAATTCGAGCTGTCAGCGAGGATCTCGGCATCGCAAAGCTGCCGAATTCGGTCTACGAGGCATGGCAGCTCACGTCACAGCTCACGGTAACAAAGCACGACCCGCTGATACCCCATGCTGGAAGCGACTACAGCGGTCTGTTGGATGAGCTGTGCAAGGCTGGTGCCACCAAGTCTGCAGCTACGAGGAAGTGCAAGGAGATCACGAGGGAATCCGAGCGCATGCGCCGCAAATTCGACCAGCATGACTTTGTGGCTGGGAAGAAGAAAAAGGTGCAAGTGACAGTGATCGAGCATGATATGCACCACTTGACGTATGGAAACGTGACGGTGAAGGTCAGTGCAGCACACTTTGCCAAACTGCGCGAGATGTATGCGCGGAGGCTAGAACAAGGTGTGAGCAGATCAACGATGACGCCAAACGATCAACGTCAGTTTGAAAGTGCATTGTTTTGCCTGCTGCTTCGATATGACTCGCTGGATGGAGGAGGTTTTCAGGTAGGGAATCGGGAGTCTGCGGTTCCTGCAGTTCAAATGTCTGATAGCTCGAGTTTGTGCGACAGGCTGCGCTGAACGAGGAGTGCTTTGATGTGCTGCTGAAAGATTTTGACTGCAAAATGGAGTGTTTTGCCTCGCCACTGAATTGCCGCTACTCGCGTTTCTGCAGCGCTTTCTTCGACACGGATTTTGCGTTTGGAAGTGTGGGCAGCTTCTTTGATTTCTCGCCTCGCTCTGGGTATGTAAAGGCTCACCGAGCTCCTGTTTCTTGCAGCGATGTAGCTAAGCGTTCGCTGTTGCGTTGGCCGTTTTGGATGCAGATGCTTCGAAGCCAACCCGCCTTTTATTCCCAAGGTCATCAAACGCATGGCAGAATATATGACAGCGCTACTCAATGCTGCTGATGGGCCCTTGACATTCATCGTCATCATCCCGGCATGGCGAGAGACTGAGGTATGGGGTCCAATGAATCGGGTCACGCTCCTTCTTGTGCGACTAACGCATGAGGCTTCTATGCGCAGGGATGGAAAGGACTGAATGCCAGTCGGTTCAACCAGGCGCATGTCAGTATTCCGCAGAAGCAGCACGGCTACTGCGAGGGCAAGCAGCAGATCCGGAAGACCCGTTGGCGTATTGCATCGTTCGACACGAGTGTCTTTTTCTGGCAAAACGCTAAGGCGTGCAGCAAGTGGCCCGTGACAGCAGAGAAGCTCGATAGGCTAAAGCGTGCCTTCAGGTCAAAACAAGTCGAGGAGCGTGACGCACTGGGTCTTCGCAAGTCGGGCAAGCGAGTACGCTCGGCACGTGATACCTTACAAGGATAGAGCTACCACAGTTGTGTAAAACTTACTGATTTCATTGACTCAATGCTGCTTTTGTCGATCAAGTAGAGTGGACTACGTGTGTAGTAGAAGTCTGAGTTTACGCTTGCGGCCCTACTGCGCCCTCTTCCTCAGCCATGATGTTCGAGATAAAACCGAGAGACTCCTCTTTCGTCATCGAGTAGACATTGCTGATTTTGTTCTGGTAGCCGATACCATAGAACGAGTCGGCAATATTCACCAGCTCTGGGCGAAATGTCGACGTGATGAACTGCAGACAGCGTACACAGGGGGGGAATTAGCACAGACGGACGACCTTTACAGTTTCAAACAATATACGCACCTGAGCCGGGCTATCCTTCGAGTGTGCTTGGCGGTGAATCAAAGCCGCAACCGCAGCTCGGTGAGTGGAGTCCAGCGCCTGGTCGATCTCATCAAACAAGTAGAATGGAGCTGGGTCGACGCGTTGAATCGCGAAGATAAAGGCAAGGGCCACCAACGCCTTTTGGCCACCGGAGAGCTGCTGCATCAAGTAAGAGTCTCCCTCGCCGCGAAAATTTACTTTGACCTGCACGCCAGAGTACGTGTCGACGTTCGGTCCCCGTGACGCATCGCCATGGTCAACCTGATCGGTCTGGCCAGTGTCCGCACCAACTAGAATCATCTTGCCTTCTCCCGTTGGCACCAGCTCACGAAACACTTCCGAAAAAAAGCCTGCTACTCCTTTGAAGGTGCGGAATATAGCTTCATCCTTTCGCTTGTCCAAGACATCGATCAGGTCCTTTATCGAATCATACGCATCGTCGATCTCCTTTTTTCGATCCAAAAGCGTCGCACGCTGTTCGTTGAAGTTCATGAACTGATCCAGCGCCTTTTTGTTCACGTGGCTGTACTTCTTCAGCTTCTCGCTTCGGCGCTTAAACTGCTTGATCACGTCCTCATATGACAACACCTTGAACTTCTCGAGCTCAGCAATCGGCAAAGTTCCTAGCTCCCGGATATCTCGGATCGCATCATCACGTCTTTTTTAGCAGCCGGCGGCGCTTATTCAAGACTTTCTCTGTTCGCTGGGACTCCTGCTGGATGCGATCACTCAATAACTCGTCCTCTTTGTGTAGCGCATCCACCTGCACTTTTTCGTTCGCGATTTCTTGCTGCAACGTCTCGATGTTCTTCTCGAGATTCTTCAGCGATGACGTGTTGTCGTCGACTAAATGAGAAGCGTCAATCAAGTCAATCTGCTTGGCCTTCACCTTTTCCCCCCGCTCACTGACCACCAGCTCTTCAATTCCCTCACCGAGCTGTTTCGCCAACTCCGTTTCACGCTTCATCAAGTTCTCTTCCAAAACCGTCTTTATACCTTCTTTCTGAGAGCGTATGTCTGCCACTCGCTGACTTCGTTCCCGCTCTTCTGTCTCTAGCGACGAAATCGTGGACAACAACGAGTGCAGCGACTGTTGTTCGTCAGCTGTCAAAGCGTCTTGCATCGGAGCAAGAAGCTCTGCGTGGAGCGACTCGATCATCGAATGCAGATACCCGATCTCTCGCTCCTGCAACTCGCTGCTTTGCTCTCTCTGCGCAAGGTTTTCTTTCTGGATGCGAATATGACTCTTCCGCTGAGATATTTCGCTACACAAGCGCTCGTGGGCGGACACGACACGGTGCTTTTCCGCCTCTAGCTTTTGGATCTCACTAATCACACCAGTAACTCGTTGATCTGCTTGCTGAGCCTCCGCCTTTACCCTTCGAGCTCTTTCTGCCACGCTCTCAAGTTCCAATTGTGCCTGCTTCACTTCCATCATTGCTCGTGTGCGAGATCGTCGGGGATCCTTGAAGCCACCGTTCAGGGCACCACGGCGGTGAACCATATCGCCGTCCAAGGTCAAGCAGTCCATGTTTGTCTGCTCTGCATACCGGCCGCACGCTTCCAAGTCTCGGCAAAGCAACTTCTTGCCGAAAGTAGCCATAACACCCTTGCGCACCTCTGCTGGATATTCCAGCTTCTCGACTAGTGCAACAACATCATCATTGCGAGGGTAGTCGAAGTGATCCTTCACTTTTAAGCGGTTGAGAGGAAGAAAAGTAAGCCGCCCAAGGTTCTTCTTGTCCAAGTCTTGCATGATGCGCGCAGCTGTGTCATCCGTATCCACAACGACGTGAAAAAGAGCGCCGCCAGCAGCCTCATCTGCAGCGATACAATATCGTTCATCGACAGGTTTCACGAGGTCGATCAGAGGTCCATAAATCCCTCGAATACGATCTTGCATCTCACGCACTGCTTGCAGACCACGGCGAACGCCATACGCCATTGTACTCTGCAACGCAGCTTCTCCATCGCTCAACTTCTTCTCGAGCTCGCGTTCGCGATACGATATCTGGTTTTCCTCACGCCACTTTTCCTTGCGTTCTTCATTCAGGATGTTGCGTTGCTCTTTCAGACGGAGCATTTCTGTTCCGACAGTATCCACTCGACGACGGTGCTCACGCAGCTCTTCTGTCTGTTGCTGAAGCGTTCTTTCAGATCCCTCAATAGACTGCGCCAACTCCTCAATGGAGCTTCGTAACGACGCTGTATCGGACTTTTTTCTGCGCACCAAGCCCTCAATATCACTGATCTCGCGCTGAAGATAGTCATCACGCTGTTGCTGAGTACGAAACTGACTCTTCCGACTCTGCTTGGCAATTAAGTGCTTGGACTGTACTTTGCACTCCTCAAGTTTCCGTGCCACTTGGTCGTGAGCTAACTCTGCTTGTCGAAGTGCAGGTAGAATTTCACCATTGAGCAGTGCTTGTTTCGCTTGAATCTCGCGTTTCACGACTGCGACTTCCTTCGACGCAGCGCAGCGCTGCACGCCGTCAGTGCTAATCTGCTCTTTAAGCTCGTTTAGCTCCATTTCTAGCTTACACTTAGCTTTCGTCAGTTCCCCCCGTTCATTCTCTCTCTTCTCCCGTTCGTCCACGAGCTGGGCAAGATGTTGATTTTTCGCACGCTGATCACTTTCGATCCGACTGATCCCAGCTCGAACGTGCATGAGCTTCTCATGCAGCTCCGTGGACAACGCACTCTCTTTTTGTCGCTCAGTGTCAAGTACTTCGATCTCCGTCCGCACGCTTTGCAGTTCCTTTTCGTGCATCGTGTACTCGAGAGCACGATGTTCTCTGTCCAGCTGCTGGTACTCCTTGAGCTCTTCCTTCTCCTCGTCTAGCTCCGACAGTCTCTCTTCAATGTACAAGACCACCTCTTGGATCTTATCTCGCTGCGCCTGCGTCTCTTGTAAGATCTTGAGCGACTTGATCCGCTGGTCCTCGTATACTTTCGTGCCCGCCACTTCCTTGAGCAGCTCGAGTCTCTCCTGCTCCCGCATGACCGCAAGCGCATTGACCTTGCCTTGCTGCACAATGTAGTAGGGATTCGACCGCGAGAAGCCCGCGCTTTCCAGCAAGTGGACCACGTCAGTCTTCGTAATGTGCTTGCGGTTCAAAAAGAACTCGTCCTTCTTCACGCCGATCGTGCGCCTCAGCGCGACTTCGTCGTCGTCCACGGGCAGACGCCCATCGCGATTGTCGAACACGATCTCCACGTACGCCGACATGACGTGCTTGCCCGCGCCTTCGTGCAGAAGCGCCTGGCGTTCGTCCGGACGGAGGTTCGCAAAGCGAGACGTGAGCAGTCCAAAGCGAATGGCGTCGAAGAAATTGGACTTCCCCGTGCCATTGCGTCCAATGACGACGTTGTGCTGCTTGCTGAACGGCTCGACGGCCACTTGGTCCTTGTAGCTGCGGAAGCCGCACACGCTCACCTGCTTGATGTGCATCGCGGTCGGCAAAAAGGAAACGACTTGGCTGGCGCACTTTAGCGGACGGGCGCGCGCGCGTACTTAGGGAATCAAGTTGCTTTTTCTAGCGCGAGAAAACTCGTTTGTCGAAACAGCTTTTTTCAACGAGCAGCAAAGCGCTTTTTTTCTCGGTCGGCGAGTCTCCGTTTACGTCCGAATAAGTGACTGGCTGGCGGCGCTTCGTGAGCAGGTCTTGTGCGTCTCGCGTTGCGGCCGCTTCGAGCGTGATCGCACTTTGAGTTTTGCAGTAGCTCTCGTAGGAGATATGGGTCACCGAAAGTTTGAGGCTCCGCGCCACGGCCACTTGGGGTTCCTCCCGAAGAAGCGTACGAAACACCACCGCGGCCGCGTTCGCAAGTTCCCGCGCGATGACGCGTCCAAGGCGCCGCACCTGACGGCGTTCATGGGCTTTAAGGCCGGCATGACGCACATTGTGCGCGAGGTGGACCGTCCTGGCTCCAAGGTGCACAAGAAGGAGATTGTCGAGCCCGTGTCGATCGTGGAGACGCCTCCGATGGTCGTGATTGGCGTCGTCGGCTACCTCGAGACCCCGCGCGGCCTTCGCACGCTCACGACGGTGTTTGCCGAGCACCTGAGCGAAGAAGTGAAGCGTCGGTTCTACAAGAACTGGTACAAGTCGAAGCGCAAAGCGTTTACCAAGTACGCAAAGAAGTACCAGACGGCCCCTGCTGACATTGAGAACGAGCTCAACCGTATCAAGAAGTACTGCCAGGTCGTGCGTGTGCTCGCCCACACTCAGGTCCGCAAGGTGAAGCTTCGCCAGAAGAAGGCCCACCTGCTTGAGGTGCAGGTGAACGGTGGCTCGGTGGCCGACAAGGTGGACTTTGCCAAGTCGCTCTTCGAGAAGCAGGTGCCAGTGACGGCCGTGTTTGCCAAGGACGAAATGATTGACGTCATTGGTGTTACCAAGGGTCACGGTGTGGAGGGTGTGATTACCCGTTGGGGCGTCACCCGTCTACCACGTAAAACGCACCGTGGTCTGCGCAAGGTCGCCTGTATCGGAGCTTGGCACCCGTCGCGCGTGCGCTTCACGGTGCCGCGTGCCGGTCAGCACGGTTACCACCACCGTACGGAGATCAACAAGAAGATCTACCGCATCGGCGCTGCTGGGGACAAGAAGTCGTGCATGACTGAGCAAGATCTGACGGAGAAGGACATCACCCCGCTGGGTGGATTTCCGCACTACGGTATCATTAACGAGGACTGGCTCATGATCAAGGGCCAGATTGTCGGTACGAAGAAGCGCGCGTTGACTCTGCGCAAGTCGCTGCTGGTGCACACCAAGCGCTCGGCTCTTGAGGAGATCAGCCTCAAGTTCATCGATACGTCGTCAAAGTTCGGCCACGGTCGTTTCCAGACTGCGGAGGAGAAGGCCAAGTGGATGGGTCCGCTCGCTCGTCAGAACCGCGCTTAAGTCGTGCTCTAAGCTTTTGCTCGGCATTGCTACGTAGCAGGTGCTCTGTGTGGGACCTGATGCGTGGCGAGGCCGCCGTCGTCTTCCTGTGGCCAGCCAGGTGATTGTAAGCAATCAAAAGACTGCTCTACTGCGAACTCTGCTCTCATTTGCTTCGTTGGTCTTTTCTTGCTGGTTGGGAGAACTCTATCAGACAGCAGTGTAGATAAAGCACGTGGCTCACGTGACAGGAACATCACTGTCAACAAAGCCCATTGACACGATCATTACTGTAGACACAAAGCACACCAACGCGAGCTTTATTTTCTAGCACACTCGACGCCTTAGATCGCAGCCCTCTCTCCAACAGCTTAGCATGTGAGCTCTTTGCTAGCCCTCGCAACGCTCCCTTCGCATGTCACGCATGACATTCTCCAGCTCGACACCTTATTCCATCTTCGGCTTCTTCTGCGCGGACTTCTTGGCAATGCTGAAGTCCAGTCGGAAGAGCAGCATGCAAACGAGAAAGAAGATCAGGAATGCTGACACCAGCAGCAGCGGCTCGTGCATCATGAAGTACTGCGGGAAATCAAACGTCACTTCGAAGGGCACATTGTGGGCGGCCACAACGTTCTTCTTGTCCAAAATCAGCACAGGCCGGCCGATCGCGGGGGTGTCCAGGTACGTCTGTCGCGTGGTCGTGCTCGTGCTCTCCACGCTGAACGGCACACTGATCTGCACGTTGGTTGCACCTTCGGGCAAGATCACCTTCACAGTCAGATCATCCACAGACGCGCCCTGAAGAGCCGTCGAAAAGTCCACCGACAGCTTGAACCTGTCACCGACGTGACTCAGCACCGAGTGCGTGGGGACAGAGTAGCCGAGGTACCATTGGCTCTTCCAGCCACCGAACATAGGAAAGCGCGGTCTGAACAACAAGTCCTGGTACGAGCCCGTGCGGCTAGCTGGACGCAGGTTTGACGTCGAGATGTTGCCGATCTGGTCGCGATAGTACACATTCACCGCGTCCTTCGGCAATCGAGCGTGCATGTCATAGAACGAGGCGCTGTGCTGGTGAAGCTGTACATAATCGAATCGGGAGAAGCCGCCCTTGAGCTTAGCACCGGTGTGCTCCATGTCATAAACCTCTTCAAACGACACACGACCCCACATCGACACTTCGATTTCGCGCGTCAGCTTGGTGATTGTCAGAAAAGGGGCGTGATTCTTGTAGTGCACGCTCAAGGGCGCAGTCTCCACACTAGCAGCCAGCCCCGCAATGTTCGAGTACGGGCCAAGCGTGGCCGTCGATCCCTTTCTCACAACTGGCTCTGCAGCTTGTAGGCTCTCCACTTTACCGCTTGGTAACTTCAGCTTTGTTGTCTGCGTCTTGGTCAAGTAGGGCGACGAGACGAGGTGGCTTGCCTTGAAAAGCACGAGCTGATCGTCGCGCTGCGCGATCTCTGCCGGGTACGGCGTGAGCAAGCGCGTGAAGTAAGCCGTTACCTTGACAGATCCCGTCTCGCCTTTGGCAACAGGCTCCTTCAGCAATACAGTGTAGAGCGCCCCGTCCTTCGACGTCGTGGCCGCGTTTTTCTGCGTAGCCGGCACGATCTCGCACAGAGATTTGCCACATCGGGCCGAGACGTTCGCCAGGTGCGTCTCAAGAGCACGAGGGAACGACACGTCGTACTCTGTCACCTCTGCGTCAGTGTCGGAGAACTGGAACTCAGTGTACTCGCGCACCACGTGCTTGGTCAGGTCCAACGTGCGCTTCGCCTAGGAGACACGAGACACGATCAACGCCAGCCAGCAACAAACAACAAGAGAGAGAGGGCATTGCACGACGTACCGACTGATTGATGACCTCACCGTGGGCGGCGGCCGCCGCGATCGCTGCCACGAGCAGAAGAACGCGCGTCATCGTTCGGGTTTGGATTCTAAGCTCTCTTTGCCAGACGGACACGTAAGCCGAATGACCGACATTGCTCCGATTGGCCGAAAGACCGACCGTGGGAGTTTCAACCAGTGCTTGGTCCTGCCTCACTGCAGCTGCTTTCTAACTGGACGAAATACCAGCGCCAATGGTTCGTGGCCCAGCGCTTCCCATAGCTCCTCGTGAATCAATTCCCGACGACTGCTCAGCTAAGAATGCTCTCGCGTGTCCCCCGCGTGGCGCTGCTCCGTAGCGCGGCCGCGCGCCGCACGTGCGCACGTCGTTCGCGCCTGATCCAGGCGGTCTTTTTCTCGACGGAGGAGACGCCCAAGTTGCCAACGACTGCAGAGGAAGAGCTGGCGCTCACGCCCAAGGTGCAGACTGTGCTGGACCAGATCCTGGCGCTCAATATGATTGAGATTGCAGAGCTCTCCCACGCGATCCAGGTATGTGTCTGACCATTGCATTGCCGTTCATGTGTGTGGCTATATGGTTCGTGTCGTGTCGCTGATCTCTGTTGCTTTTTGTTGTGTTGATCGGCACGTGATAGACCAAGTTTGGCATTGCAGAGTCTGCGTTCCAGGTCGGCATGGGTGGTAGCGCTTCCGGTGGTGCGGCCCCTGCTGCAGATGAGCCGAAGGAGGAGAAGACTGCGTTTGATGTGAAGCTGGCCAGTTTTGATGCGAAGAGCAAGATTAAGGTTATCAAGGAAGTACGTGCGATCACGGGTCTGGGTCTGAAGGAAGCCAAGGAGCTCGTAGAGGGTGCCCCGAGTACAGTAAAGAAAGACGTAAAGAAGGAGGAGGCCGACGAACTTGTGGAGAAGCTCAAGGCAGTGGGTGCAGTTGTGGAACTGGAATAGAGCGTGGGTGTGCACTTGTGCGGATCAGACGACGTTGTATTTTCGCAGTGCAGCCTCTGCTGATCGCAGCGGTTTGGTGTCGCAATTGCGTTGTTTCGACTCGACTGCATTGCATTGCTGAGCAACGTGTCTTCGCATGCGTGACGACGTGTCGATTGTTGCAAACTTCATGCACATGTATGCCGTTGTGTCCCTTGACGACGTCAAACGTAGCGGCCATGTCGAACGGGGGCGTTGATATCGAATTGCAGAGGTGACTAGAGCAGACGGTTGAGCCGTGAACGTCAATACAAATCCATGACGTCTGCCGTGTTATGCGTTTTCCGAGGTTATTACTATTGATACGTCGTGCAAAACCGAAGGGTGGTGCGACTCAGCAATCGATGGAGGCACTCAAGCAGAGCTTCAAGAGCGCGACTCAGCACCTCAGCGAGGAAGAGAAGCGCCACCAGCAATGCGAGGACATGTGCGAGAAGGCGATGGTCACATGTGCGTGGCCAAGTAGCATACGAAAGATCGTGTGCGTGAGCACGGACCGGTGGCTGACACTGCTGTGGTGGTGCTGACTGGCTGCAGGTTCCCGTGTAAAGTTCCTCGTCGACGCCATTGAGAAAGGAGGCTGCAAAATCGAGCCCGGGTTCTTCTCCAGCATCCATTGCGAGAGCGAAATTAATGGCGGGTTCCACCTGGACGACAAAGGCACGCCGGGAGTGAGTCGATTCGATACTGTTCGTTGCGCGAGTGCACGGAGGGCCAACAGCAGCAGTAGCCCGCTTGACAGACTGACTGATGACTGTATCCTTCATTGGGCGTGTCGTGGGCGTGACAACACTTGATGCAGGTCGTGTTGTGCCAGAACCACATCCCAGACCAAGAGTGGATGGACCGCACCATGGCGCACGAGCTGATCCACGCGTTCGACCACTGCCGCAACCAGATTGACTGGAACAAGTGCGAACACCACGCTTGCAGCGAGATCCGAGCGGCAGCGCTGAGCGGCGACTGCGATTGGAAGTACGAGTTCTTCCGCAAGAATTTCAACGTGGACAAGCAGCACCAGGTAGGCCATGACGTGTCATGCGCTGTTCAGGGCGCAACGACGGTTCATCTCTTTGCATGGTTGACGATCGCTCTTGTCGGTGACTGCAGCTCTGCACGCGAAGGCGAGCGAAATTGTCCATCGAGCAGAACGAAGCGTGCAAGGGCAGAGTACGTTCCTCTATCGTTTGTGGTCGATGCTGCACTTGTTGTTCCCACATTGACACGCTCGAATGGTGCTGCTGCACAGGCGGACGAATGCATCGACAAGGTGTTTGACTCTTGCTACCGCGACTGGTCGCCATTCCGCGAGATCCCCTGATCGAACGGTGGCACGGCGTAGAGCTCTGCAGACGGCGGCACAGCCACGACGACCTCACTATGTCCATTCCGACCATAACCGACAGCGTAGTGAGTGGACAGTAACAACGCAACAATAGAGAGAGACTGACTGCAACTTGACCCGCACTTCATTCCGTGTGTCCGTCCAGGTTCCCAGGGCTGGCTGGATGGGTGGTCCACAAAGAGACTCGCACCGCATGGCATTGCCACCGCCACCTCCTCCCGCCGCGCCACGAGCGACAGCGACCGGCGTTGAGGCTGCACCAACACCAACACCAACGACGTTGTCGTCGTCGTCGTTCTCCTCCTCAGTATCTCCTGCTCCTGTGCTAAAGAAGCGACGCGTAGAGCGACGCGAGCGACTGCGGAAGAGCGCTCTATGCAAACACTTTGACAAACCCGGTGGGTGTCCGTTCTCCGATTGCAAATTCGCCCACGGACGGTACGCCGCAAACGTTGTCAAACTCTTCTCCTCCTCTTCTTCTCTGCCTCTTCTTCTGTCTCTTTCTCGTCGTCTTCTCTTCTTCTTCTTCTTCTTCTTCTTCTTCTTCTTCTGTCCTAACGAAGTCGTTTGCTATCGTGTGTGTCTGTGCGTCTGTGGTAAAGCGTGGAGGTGAATGACAATAGCCCGCACTCGGTTGCGGCACAGCGGCGACTCATTCGGGAGCAGGCAGTGCATCGTGCCGAGGAGCAGTTCCAGACTGGCGATCATGGCGCTGTCACTTCCAAGCGTCGAGGGACAATGGTGCGATGCCCACTTGCAGTCGGTTTATCTGTCGGAGGCTCAGGTGCCGCTGCCTCATCATGGACTGACGCATAGACTGACGCATAGACTGGAGACTATACTGACTACGGGGCTTCTGTGCGTGCCGGTAGATTGAGCGCTACTATACCGAGATGTTCTCGTGCGACACAATGGGCAAACCCATGGAAGACCAGTACGTGCACATGCACTCGAACCGGCTGTGCGTGGTGGGCGTGGCGGCGTCCCACCCAGTGATGCAGGAAGAGGTGGCGAGGGTTGTGTTCCCTCGAAACGTGCTGGAGAACCACGTGACGGGCAAGAAGAAAAAGGGCGGCTGCTTCCTGCTGCCCGATACGGTCGTGTGCGTCCTCAGGTGCAAAAGTGGCCGCGAGTTCACGCTGCGGAGTTGCATTCGAGGCTCGTTGATCGAGTTTAACAGTCGCCTCTTGACGGAGCCAGGATTGCTGACGGCAAAGGTATGGTGCGCTGCAGCCTCGGGGTTTCTTGGTCATCCTGTACGATCGATGTGCCGCTGATCTGCTTTGCTTTCGTTGTACTGCAGCATCAATCGGACGGGTACCTTATCATCATTCAGCCGAAGAAGGTGGAAGTCGCAGAGATCCAGGCATCACTGCTTTCGAAGGCCGAGTACAAACAGTTCCGTGCCATCTCTTCCAGAGCTAATGCGACATCCGATGCATTGAATGAAGATGCTGCACGAACGAATGGACTGAACGAAGATGCTGCAACGGCGAATGGATTGGACGAGGGTGCTTCGCAACCAGCTTCAGCAGAGCCGTTACAGCGCATCGAAGAAGGGCCGAAGTCCAAGACCATGCCAACGCAAGAGTAGAAGTCGACGGCACATATGATGGTATGGGTTGGAAAGGAACTGAAGCTGCAAACATAACGCTGGAATGCGGCGAGTCAGGCAACAGCATCACCTCCCTGTCGTCGTTCATCTACCCATTGCTGGTAGCGTACTGATGGAAATCAGCGCCTAGCTCTTTTTCTTTCTACTGACGATGTCGAGAACCGATCGCGTGAACTTGGTCATCTCGGATCTGCTGAAGCTCAGCTCATCCTGCAAAGCACGACCTAAGTATCAGCTCATCTCAATTGCTATTAGTGTCGCACGCCGCTGATAACGTACTCGTAAATATGACGGCACTTTAATGCCCGTCGGCGGCTTCTCGCTTGGGAGATACTCGATTTCGCTCGAGGCGGCCGCGGGAATGGCCAGCTCAAACTCAAACTGGTTCCCAGTCGCTGAGTCAGTAGTTGTGCACACGATTTCAGTGCAGTCATCGCCGTCTTGTTCGTCGTCGTCAGTCGACTGAATCAAGCGAATGTCCATACTGGTCGCCAGGCGGTACATTTTCAAGAGCTGCGTTCGGTACCATGAGCACGGCAGCATCGGAACATGAGTGAGTCAAGCACAAGACAAAACAGCGGCATTTTCACCGTACCTTGTTTGCCTGGTCAAGTTGCATGCTGGCTTCGCTGTTCTGCACAGCTGTACATGGTCCAAAAGCAGATACACAGTCACTTCAGTTGCTACCCTCTCGCCAGCAAATACACCGCAAATGTACCCGAGGCAGCTGATATAGCAGCAGCGTTCACAGTCACCACGTCATTTGGCCCTGTGCTCCGCTTGAATGATGCAAACTGAGACTCGAGCTCTCGGATATGCTCCCGCAACGCTGTCTTCTCCACGTCTTCGTCGTCTTTGCTCCTTTGATTCGCGTTGTACTCGCGCATCTTGTCAGCCACGAGTTTGTCCACCTCTTTCTTATGCTTCTTCCGCTCCTCTTCCGCCTGCTTGGACAGTGTCGTGATGTCTTTCTTCAGCTTCTCAATGAGCTTCTCCTGCGTCTTCTTCTCCTGCAATGCCAAGTCACGCACTTCCTTCAGCATCGAACCACTGTCTTGTTCGTACTGCTGCTTCTTGCTGCGCTTCTTTTCCTCCAATCGAACGCGCTCCTGCTCCGTCTCGTCCTCCCGCTCTTCGTCTTCCTGTTCTTCCGCCTTGTCAACTTGCGACTCCTTCTTCCTCCGCTCGGATACAGATGCCTTTGTCTTCTTATTCCCTTGAGTCGCCGGAGCTCGAGACCGCTTCTTCCGGACCTGTGCGCTCTTCTCCTCCGACTCGCTCCCCGAGTCCTGGACTTCGAACGCCACGTCGCCATCGTCGTCCTCGTCCTCGTAGTCCCATGAGCTCTTGCGTCGTCGCTTCTTCTTGACAGCAGCACGACCGCCTGCCGTCTTGGACGCTCGCCCTTGCTTCGGGTTTGCGCTGGCAGCCGACGACTTGGAGCCGGTAGCTTTTTCGCCAGCTCGGCGTGGCATGACTGCGTGCTTTGCTTTTGTGGATTTGTAACGGTATTTACGTACGGTTTATTTTGTGATTTGTGATATGTGACTGAAAGTTGAAGTTTGCGAGGATAAAAGGCCCCGGACGTTTGCGACGTACCCCCTACGCTTGCATCGACCGCATTGTGTCCAATCGGTGCGGCCCCACGTTCCAGATAGGGGGCAGTGCCGAGCTGAGTGCGTACAAGTTTGCTGTGGAAGATTCGCTAGACCACGTGCTGTGCTCGATCGATGCAACAACGCACCTTGGAGGTACACTCGGATGAGAAATGGATGACAGTGAGACGATTGCACTGCCCATCTGAGTCGACTTAAAACGGTGCAACGAAATCAGGGCAGCATGACAAAGAGGTGAGTCACGAGCAACTCCACTGTGCACTGCAGTGTTGTGGTAGTACTACGCTCTCCGTCACATCCATGCAGTGCTCTCTCGTATACGCATTCAGATGTGGTATTGCACAATGCGGTCGTCAACCCGAACAGTGGTCAAATTATCAACTCTTAACATTATCGTCATAGCTCTGCGCTCGCGGCACGAAGAGCACGCGCATACACTGACTTTATTGGTACTCCTCCTCCTCTTCTTCGTCGCCCTCGCTCTCATCATTTTGCCCCAAAACCGATAAATAACACTCAATTGCCTCATCGTGCCGTCCCCGTTCGTGCATGATACGTCCGAGCATCGCTACAGCAGCGCCTGTCGGCTGTAGATTCAAACTCGTCATGCACGCCTCCTCCGCAGCAACAGGCTGGCTGACCATCAAACGACACTCGGCTATCATAAACCACAATGTCGCGTTCGAGCGCTCGATACCGATCGCGCGCGAGAGTTCGAGAATAGCAGCCATGTACTCCTTTTGCTTCATGTACAATCTCCCAGAGCGGATGGCCCGCGCCACTGCAGCGCGCGCTTTTTCGTACTGACTCGCACGTACTTTTGCCTTTCGCAATTCTCTCTGTGCCTTTCTCGCACGTCTGGTGGCCTCGACATACATATCCAGCAAGGCCGGCAAATCCTTCTGCTGCTGGAGAACGACTGCTTCTAGCTCCGCAATCTGCTGCATGATCTTCATGTCTCTAGTCGTCAACTCGTAGTTGGCGGTTGTTCGCGCATTTTCTTTTGCGATCAGACTGGCAGGGTCAATCCCAGCGATGGCCGCCTTCTTCGCTCGAAGCTTGGCCATCGGATCCTCTATATCTTGATCAGACGCGTCCAGCAACTCAGCGAGCGCCTCATCACCCTTATCGTCACCATCAAAGCACGTGTCGTTGCTCGGTGCAAGCTGCGTTGCCTCAAACTCACTATATCCCGAGATGGACAATGTCCGCATTGGCACGGGACTAGCTTCGGATCGTGGCTGCTCAGATGTCTCGTTGCTCTTACCGAGCTTTGCATCGACAGGTTTGACGCCTTGGTGAGGTAGATCGGCAGTCTGTCCTTCACCATGACCCTCGCTGTTATGCTTGCGCGGTTTCGGTGGTAATGCGTTGCATTTTCTCTCGCCCTCATAGCTTCTTGGGTCCTCTTTACGGCTCCTTGACTCCACACCTGATCCTTTACTTTCGCAGTCCTCTTCGATCGTCAAGCTTGGTTTCTGCGTTGTCGCTTTCGCCGGCTTCGGGTTTAGATATTTCTGCGTGATTTCTGACACCCCAAAGCCTGACAGACTGCTGGAAGAGGCGCTGAAGTCCAGGTGCTCCTTCTTTTCCTTCGACTCCCGGCTCACGCTGTTGCTTCGACTCTTTCCAGACCTACGTGCTGTAACCTTCCTCGCTGCATTATCAGGCGCCTCGGATTCAGAACCGGAGTGATCGGATCCAGCCAGACTGAAAATGGAGAACGTTGAATCAGCAAACGCACTCTGTCTTTCCTTCTCCTTACGGGATGGCGGGTGCTTTATTTTCAGCTTCGGTACCGCAATTTGTGTCGTAACATCTTCGTGCGCGCTCATACCAGCGCCAAGATTGCTCAGTGTTGACGAAGTGGTGCGGCACGTCGACAAATTCTTCACGCCATGCTTGCCACTGGCTTGCAGGAAAAATCTGGGAATCGGAACTTGCTTCGGCTCGTGCCTGCGCTTTCCCGTTGACAGAGTGTCGACATTGCGACGGCGCTCTTTCTCTCGATCACGCAAACCTCGCTTACTTGGAGTGCCATCGAATAGGTCTCGTTCATGCAGCGCCCTGTCCTTGCGCTCTCTCTCACGAGGATCTCTTGCTCGCACATGGTTACCACGTCGCTCTCTTTCACGCAAGTCTCTTTCCTGTAAGTCTCTGCTACGCAACTCTGTCTTGTGCGGGTCGCGTTCTCGAGTGTCAATTTTGTGCCGATCCCTCTCGCGCAAGTTTTTCTCCCGCAAACGTGGATCTCTCTCGCGTAAGGCTTTCTCTCGCAGACGTGGATCCCTCTCGCGTAAGTCTTTCTCTCGTTGGCGTGGATCTCTGTCTTGTAAATGCAGGTCTCTTTCTCGTAGACGTACATCTCTTTCTTGTCCACGCACGTCTCTTTCTCGTAAGCGCGGGTTTCTTTCGCGTGGACGCAAATCTCCTTCTCGCAATCGAGGGTCCCTATCTCGTGAACGCAATTCTCTTTCTCGTACATCTCTTCCACGAATGTCCCCATTCCGTCGTGCGTTTTCACGTGGACCATTCATCTGTCGTGGATCATTATCGTCAAAGAGGTCTCGAGAATGCAAAGCTTCATCGCGCGAAAATCGGTCGTGTGTCGAATTCCCACGCATCGAAACTACCTCACGAGGATCCCTCACATGCGGGGACCCCGCAGCCTGCGGAGATCGTGCTCGGGAGTGCCTCGTATGGCGGTCGCGCGCTAAGGGTCTCGCGCGTCGGTCTTCTCCATTTTGCTGCAAGACCTGCTGATGTTCACGAAAATCATCGTCTCCGTTCCATGTCCTATTATCGCGGCGGCCTTCTTCCAACTTCCTGCCCGACTTTGCACGAGGACTACGTATCCCATTGCCCTTAGGACCACCCTGTTCGCGCAGCGCCTCCGACACGTGGCGACGGACCTTGTCGTCCGGCTGGTCTCGGCGTGCAGATGGGGGCGCGAGGCCCCTTGCAATGGCGTGGCACCGCGGGTAGCACTTGTCACACACTCGCTGCGGCACTTTCGACAGCGACGTGGGTACAATCGCCTTGCTTTTCGAGTGCTTACCGCATACCGAGAGACCGCACGCGCGACAGTGGTGTCGAGCGTTGAGCAACGAGAACTCGGTGCTACAGATACCGCAGTGGTCTTCGACCTGCCACCGCTTGGGCTTAAACTGAGCCACAGTGCTGTTCCCACGATGGCCTGCGGGCCGCGGCGGCGGCGCCTGTGGCTGTGGCATAGGTCTCCTCCTCCTGTGCCTTCTTTATACGTCCGTGTCTTTCCTGAAGCAACACCGCTCAAGCTGCTCCAACCCGTCCCCAGCTGTCTCGCGTCCGTCCGTCTCCTTCTTCTGTCTTCTCCTTCTCGCCGCTTCTGCGCTGCTTGCGCCTTTGGCCTGCCGACTAGCGAGAGCTGCCACCGAATGCCGCTATCGTCTGGAAGACGGATGCGAGGCCGTGTGCTGCGCGCCCCACCTCTTCGACCCGCTCGCTCCCTTCAGCAGCAGCAGCAGCAATAGGAGGAGAAGTGGTACTAGTGCGAGTTCTAGTAGCCGCCGCAGTGGATGCAGTTGTAGTAGTAGTTGTAGTCGCTGTAGGAAGTAATCGCAGGAGCAGTCGAGCGAGTGGCGACGGGCCGCAACAGCGTATGGAAAAAACAGTCCACGAAGAGCGCCCGGTGGCTGTCCCGTGCACGAGAGCGCGAGCAGAAAACGGGCAGAGCGAGAGTTGGACCGGGAGATGAGCAGAGAAGAGAGAGAGAGCGAGCGCGAGAGCGAGCGTCACGGGCAGCAGCAGCCGAACGATCGACCGACTGCGATGGGATGACGCGCGAGTCGCTCGTAACGGGTCCTCGTTCCCTGCGACAAGAAATCGACTGCACGACCGCACGTTCGATCGCTCGCGTCACGTGACGAAAGCAACAGACAGCAGAGAAAAGAGAAGAAAGAGAGAACGAGCTCCGACGAGCCGCCGGGTGCTCAATGCACTGCGGACGGGAGCAGTGCGTGGGTCGAAGGGCGTAACAGGTGGGCGTGCGTCAATGCAACTGGCTCGTTTACAACTCGGCGTGCTACTCTCGTCTGGTCCGCCTCTTCCGGCCTCGATCGCTTGAAACTGGTATACCGTTATCATCCACCAATCGGCTGCTCTGGCCGTGGCCACGGGAACGGACACCAAACAGGCTCTACGCCTGTCCTTGCGGCTCGTGCTCAGTCATTGGTGCAGAAAACATCGGATCGAGCTCTTGCAGAAGTAGTCGCGGGACGCAAATACCGGACCGTCGGTATCCCGCGTCTGATCGTTTCTAACGTGCCGTCTGCTACTTCCTCTTTTGTCTGCTCCTTTCTATCCGCCGGCAGCAAGAAAAAGGATTGTCAACGACAAGACATGTCGAAAAGACCAAAACAAAGACTGTCACAAAGAATAGATGGCAAAAAAAGAAGACTAAAGACGATGACTGTCATGAAGAATGCATGTCAAAAACAACAGACGTCAAAGTATTTTATTTTGTGCCCAGCTACCGACCGCGTGACACTGGACGCCAATGGACTCGCCGTCAACGAACGAGCAGCTCGCCGTGACGATCGGCACGCACGACCAGCGCACACCTCTTGGAACAGTGCGCGAGTGCGTCGTCGATGGCGTGAGCGACACAGACGACGCTGTAGTCGACGGAGCAGCGTCTGCAGGACCGACTCGGGACGAAGAAGACGGTAAAAAGCGAGAGACTCGTGTCAAAAATACACAAAAGAAGCAGAAGACGGGCGCAGCAGTGTCGGCCACTGGTGTCGCTGTGTCTCTAAACGAGAAGGACGAGTTGCAGCTGGACCGTCCCGTGTTCCGACCGTGGGAGACGGTCGCTGGATCGCTGCATGTCTTGGACACGCGGAGGAGTGCAGAGCAGACAGCAGAAGGTGCACGACCGTACAAAATTGCAGGCTTTGACTTGGACGGGACGCTGATTGTGACGAAAAGTGGACGGAAATTTGCACTGAATCTGAACGATTGGAAGTGGTTCCACCCGACGCTGGTGAAGAAAAAGATGGACGAGCTGGCTCGGCAAGGGTACACGCTAGCGATCGTCTCGAACCAGAATGGAGTTGCTAAAGGACACGTCACAGCGGCTCAGATGCAGGTGGCACAAGAAACGCGTTGATTCGTGTGCTGTGCTTGTTGTGCTTGTTGTAGGTGTAGAGTTTCTGGCTGCGGTGAACTGGTCGCTCACGCTTCGCCGTCGGTTTTGTTTGTTGCTTGTTACGTAGAATAAGCTGGAGGCCGTTGTAAGCAAGCTGGGTCTGCCTATGCTGGCTTTTTTCAGTACCGAGGACGATGTTATGCGCAAACCTCGACCAGGCGTGTGGAAGGAGCTGACGAGGCGGCTAAGCGCAAAGGGTGAACAAGCGATTGATAAGGAAGCTAGTTTCTATTGTGGGGATGCTGCAGGACGACCGAAAGTCGCAGGGCGCTCGAAAGACTTTGCGTCAACGGACTACAAGTTTTCACTGAACGCTGGAATTCGTTTCTTCACGCCTGAAGACTTGTTCTTGGGCACCAAGCAGCGCATCCATACGCGGCCCGACACGTGGGAGCTAGGTTTCGATCCCACGTCCATCACTATGAATGAGTGTGCTGGTACGATGCACTCGTAATGTGGTCTATCTCATAAATGAGGCAACAACTAACTGGTTGTGGATATGTATGGTAGAACCTGTGCTGAACCCTCCGTCGGCTTGGACCGTAAAAGAAGAGCAGGAACTGGTTGTTCTAGTTGGTCCGCCCGCATCCGGGAAGTCCTTTTTCGCCAAAACACATCTGAGCTCATACGTCGTCGTGAGCCAAGACGAACTGCGAACAGCTGCTAACTGCAGGAAGAAGTGTATCGAAGCGATCGCGCAGAAGAAAAGTGTGGTCATTGATAACACGAATCGTGACCCGCGTGCAAGAAAAGAGTGGATTGCAATTGCAAAGGAAAAAGTATGTGTGCGCACATGGCACTGCGCGTGCGCACGTAGCTTGAGCACCTGAAGCCTGCTGTCAATCCGCACTGACCCGCTGCATTGTATTGTTAGAACTTGCCCATTAGGTGCTTTGAGATGGACGTCGACAAGCCGCTTTCGATGCATTTGAACACGTTTAGGTCACTGACTCTGCAGCGCAAAGTCCCGGACGTCGCCGTTCATGGTTTTTACAAGAATCTCGTGCCACCGACGGTTTGTCATGTCACTATGCAAGTACGTATACTACCGAATGCCGACTAAGTGTGCGTCTACTACACTCGTAGATCAACGAAGGGTTTGCAGAAGTCGTAAAGGTCCCATTTCGAATCGACAGAAACGTCTCCGAAGCTGACCAGGCATTGCTGCGATCCTACATCTGAGAACGTGCGGTCTGTCACACGTTGATTCTGGCGTTGCGTTGCTGTCGGCGACAGTATGTGCATGGGCTTCCTTATGGCATGTAAATGGTCATATCGGTCTCCAGTCTGTCAACACGTGTTCATGACTCGTTCAGTCTTTCATGACGGTAGAGCGACGTGCGACGGAATGCGTGTATTCAGCGTGGTCGCTTTTGCAGGACGGACTAAGCTTATGGATACGACGCTTACCAGATTTATTGTCGTGCAGCGGAATGCATCGCGCGTGTTCTTCACCATATGAGCATTTATCAGCTTGTCTCGAGAGACGTGCCTGTCATCATTCGCCTTGTCGAGGACCAGCAAGTACCCTGTAAGTGCCTGTGATACCGTTCTCCAATGCAAATGTTTTGGTTAGTACATCGGTGACCGCGACAGACTTATGTCGTGATGCCCCTTGCTACAGCCCTCGTTCTCTCGCTTATAGAGCACCGCGGCAATGTCGTTTCCGCTGAGTGCGTTGCAGGCGGTATGGCTTGGTCGCCGTTTCGGATGGTCGCGTTATCGTTACGCAAATTTCGAGAGCAGGGGCGGGTGAACGGGAAAAGTGGGGCTGGAATGTGGAGAGTGCGTTACTGGGTACACTTGCAGGCGTGCGTCACCTGTCGGTCGAAAGCTGGTGGCATGCCAGTGCGATTCACGCATTCGATAGCCCATAGCTTGGTCGCATTGTCGGCATGAGAAAATCGACTGATGCAACGATCAAGCTTGTCGTCGTGCTACACGTGCAGCTCTCGCTCAAGTCGTTCAGTTGCGCAATGTCGCCGCCACAGGACCCGCTGCAAAAATCGGTATCGTACCCGCGTGTAACGACAGACAACAGTGCTCGTCAACTCGTCGGTGTACCGCAAGCGCAGAAGATCTGCTTTGGACGATGAGACAAACGACACGGCAAAGAGCAAGTGTTTGGCAGAGGTCTAGCGACATGATCCACCAGGGACAAGTTTACGCGTCGAACGTTAGCAAAAGCGAATCAACATCGTAATGTATCAACAGTAGAACAGGAGGTATGGCCGTACATTTGTGTTCCTAGTTCAGCAACGACGCTTGATCAGCTGAAGCGCTTGTAGCGGAACAAAGCAGGAGGTCACAGAGAGCACGCGAACGCAATTGCCAAGGAGAGCATGAGCTCCAGAAGAGAGTAGAGTCCCGTGTCATTTATACTGCGACTAGCCCGGGCGTTCAGTAAAAAGTGCCTGAGCTTCACGCAACCATTCGAAGCGAGGCGTCATATCTCCGACCTATAACAGCCTGAAGCCGAGTGATCACCCAGTGCAAGCGAGTCAGTACATTTTTTCGCTACAAACCGGTGCCGGATGCCGGGATCGCGCCACTTTCTCGCTGCCAAACAGTTCGTTCCCGTAAACGCTTCGGACCACGAGCAAGCAGACCACTTGACGGATACGACACAAAGTCTTGGGTGCATTTGATTATTATTTTCGTTCTCGTCCGTCTAACATGCACGGCACCACGAGAGAAAATGTCGACGCCACATTGACCACACATACTCCGCTTTCCGTCTCGACGCGTCAACGTCTTCCTCGCTGGACGCCATTCTTAGAATATAGAAACTGTCTCGCGCTAGAATTCTGCCTCGAGACTAGTTCCCGTGTCAACTGCCGTAGGACTTGCAGCATATTGTCCTCGACTTCTAGCCGAGTCATCCTGCGACATCGCGTCATGACTGGCAACATCGCTTATTCCCGACAAGTCCAGAGAGCTGCCACTGGGGCTGTTCGGAGACAGATCGTACGAGTGTTGACTCGGTTCATTTCCGTTGGCTGGTGCAACGACTGTGCTGCTCGTCAATGCCGAAGGTCCTTGCGAGATCACGAGCTTTTCTACATGAACGTGGTCGTGGTCGCGTTCCTCGCTACTCGAGCACGAACTTCCACTCGCCTTTTTAGCCGGCGGCCGCCCGCGAGAGATGGTCACCTCAACGCGCTCAAATTGCTCGACCATCGATGCCTCCAGCTTCTTCAAGCCTTCGTGAAACTGCTTGGGTGAAATCGGCATCGGGTTCAATTGACCGTTTTCAACAAATGACGACAGCGGCGTTCCCCCGTAGTCGGAAGGAATGCTAGCATCTTGCACTGCTACTTGATCAGGTTCATCCAGGTCCTCTACGTTCAAAGGACCGGACGTGGAGCCGGCAGGCGGCGGAGAAGGTCGCAGCTCAGACACCAAGTTCGTGACTTCCACAAGAGCGTCTGGATCTTCGCAAAAGTAGGTGAAGTCCTTGAAGGTGGGGTCCTGGACCGGAGGAGCTGCTTTGTCACGGTTGCCTCGGCTCGACACGAGCGACAAGAAACCCTTCGACTTGGCTGTCGACCTGTCCGTCGGCGACTGGACTTCACTATTCACGTCCAGATCTGTAAACTCCGCGTCCACGTACTCTACATCGAGCAGCGACGCCAACTTCGGCTTCCACGGTGGAGTAATTTGCTTCTTTAGCAGTAGATCCCAATCAATGCCACGGAAGTACGGGTGTTTCAAAATGTCGCTGATGTTGGTGCCGAGGCGCTTTGTGGGGTCCTTTTGGAGAAAGTTTCGAAGAATTGACTTGAGCTCGTCCGCAAGCACTGGTTTTGTGGGAAAGCTCAGAGGATCATTCTGGATCTTGTGGTACATCTTTTCAATGTTGTTGTCGTAAAACGGAGACTTGCCTACACTCATCTCGTAGAGCAAGATGCCGAGACTCCACCAATCTGCCGCCTTACCGTATGATCGCTTTGCCTTAGGCAATAGCAACTCCGGTGCTGTGTACTGAGGCGAACCCGCCATTGTCTTCGCACCCTTGAACTCCGACACATGCAGCTTAGCAAGGCCAAAGTCCACAAGTGCAACATGGCCATCCGCATCAATCATCACGTTTTCAGGCTTGATGTCTCGGTATAGAATGTCGTGCTGATGCAGGTGGTGAATACCCAGTACCAATTCGGCAGTGTAAAAATGCGCGCGGTCTGGCAGTATCCGGCAGCTTGAGCCCTTGCTCATGTGGTGAAAAAGATCACCTCCACCATAGTAGTTCATGCCGAGAAACAGCTTTGTCCGACTTTGAAAAGCAATGCGCAATCCTGCAATGAACGGGTGGTGGATGTTCTGGGCGACCCGCATTTCCGTAAACGAGCTCTCTACGTCGTATTTCGTCATCTTGCTCTTCTCCAAGATCTTCAGGGCGTATATCTGACCATCGCTTTTCTTCACGGCATTCACGACGGTACCGAAACCACCTTTACCAATCACATTGTACACCGTGAAATCCTTCATCGAAATACTCAATGACCGGTTCGACCTCACGGACGCATCGGACAACTCGGAGTAAGGGTTCTTGACACCAAACGTTTTCCAGTTGCCTGACGCATTTTTCAGATCCACATCAACACGTAAACGCAAGACCCGCCCGTTCGGACCAAAGCGCAGACGATGCGACCACGACTGAGTAATTACTGTGCCCGAGCGTTTGCTCTTCAGCGTCTCGATCCCCCTCACCGTCAGACTCTTTCCGTCTGCATCCAGCTCGCGATCCTTGACTTCCATCTTGACCAAATCCACATTGCTCTGGAACGCGCCTAGAAAGTGCAGCAAACCTTCGCGGCCGAAGTAATCGCCACTAAACGGCGTGCTCTTCGGGTACGACGACGAGAAGACGAGGTCCTTGTTAAAGTACGACAGCAGCTCCGTCACAATACCTGCGTCGCCGCTGAGCATTTGCTGGTAGACCTCATAGCCCTTTTCCGTGCGCATGTCTGGCAACGCTCCATGGCGGTGCGTGTTGTACACGAGCTTGTTGTTTTGTTTCATGCTCACCGTGTCAACTCCCGCCTCTAGGAAATAGACCCAAGCCAGCTGGTCAAACTGCGTGGGCACGCTGCAGTGAAAGACCTTGTTCTCCGTGGTCTCGAACGAAAAGTCAAAGCCGTGGCCGTTCTTGGCCACTTTGTCCATCTTGACCGACGTCACATGGACGCGGCCTTTGAGGTGGCTGCGATTGCGCGCGTCCACCTTGTTCTCATAGTCTGCAAAAAAAAACAACAACAACAACAACAACAACAACAACAACAACAACAACAACAACAACAACAACATCAACAGCAGCAGCCCACAACAACCACAACAACCAGTCAGTCTTCCACCCTCTTTCTTTCTCTATCTCCCTCTGGCAACGTACACGAGAGCAAGTTCCCCTCGAGCGTAAAGAACCGCATCTTCCAATTGCGCACCAAGTGCCCCCTCTTTGTCACGTATCCCTCCCACTCGACCATGGGCAGGTCGAGACTCTCAACCGCGTGGTCGCCCAAACTACTGGACGGCGGCGTGAGGCTCTTGCTATTGTTCCGCGAACGCCGCATGCTCGAGAAGAAACTGCTATCTAGCAGCTTGGCCTTGGCGTTCGCGCTGCTACTGCGGCTGTTCGGCCGGCTCGGGGCCATGGACGCCAAGGCCGTCGTGCTCGCGGACGTCGGCAACCCGATCAACGGCTGCGGACGCGCGTCCAGCGCGCTGCTGCTGCCCACGCGTCGACGCTCGGCGTCTTCTTTGAGGTTCGTAATGTCGGGGCCCCCCACGGGGCGACTCAGCTCGGCGCCCATGCTCGACACGCACACAGATACAGCACAGACACGCGCGCTCTTCCTCTTCTCTCCCTCTCTCTGTCTCTCTTCCTCTCGCTCTCTCTCTCTCTTCCTCTCTCGCCCGCTCGCTCACTGGTCGTGCACTTGTCAGCGCGGGACGACGACAAGTAGCTGCACGTCCAAGGAACGATCAGCCAGTCAGCCAATCAACAGACAGATAGACAGACAGACGGACGGACAGACGGACCGACAGACGCGACGTCGACTTTGCGTTTGTGCGAGTGCGGCGGAAATGATAATCGGCGCGCGAGTGGGAGGGCGAGACGAACTGTGGGAATGAATGTACCTGCGAAAGCCGATCGTCTCGGCGGTCGAGGAGTCAGACAGTCGCTGTCACTGACACTGTGCGGCACAGCAGTGGACGACGGACTCGACGACGGACGGACGGACGGAGAAAGTGGTGGCGCGCGACCGGCGCTAGAAATCGATGCAGTCGACTCGCGATTCGGAGACAAACAAGTGGATAGACAGTCAGATAGACAGATAGATAGGCTGACAGATAGAAAGAAAGAAAGAAAGTCACAGCACAACAGACAGATGGATAGTTCAGCGAGGAGAGACTGACTGCGACTGGACGAGAGCCACGACTTTGCTTGGCGATTCTGCACCATACAAACGTCAAGATGCGTTATGGCCCACTGGCGCCTTCTCGCGGCTGCAATGCTGCGATGGACTGTGGCCGGATGCACAAAGCCGCGCGCGCTCTGCTGCTTGACCAGCCGCGGAATGAGAAAAAAAGACAAGTGTCGGACCGAAGCTCTTCCCGACTACAGTATGGTCCAGCGCGAGTGCAGCTGTTTGGTCAGAGTTGACCACGACGAAGGCTGTGTTGACCACAGCGACGTCTCTCTGCTTCAGTGGCTCTCTCGACATGTCCATGACCAGTCACTACCGGATTTGGGCTCAAGAGCGACGAAGACCGTTGTAGAGCTGATGGACGGCACGATTGCAGTGGACGGGAAGTCCCCCGTCGTAGAATACAAAGAGAGGAAGTCATCGTTTCACTGCGTGCGCCACGAAAGGCAGTGCAGCGTGCAACTTGTAACGGTGGCAATCAGCTAGACGTTTTGAGGTGCGCGGTACGTCGACAGCGTATCGAGTGCCCTGCACTCAGGTACCAACAAGTTTCCGCCCTTCTGCATCCGCCTGCAAGTCGCCAATCCGTTCGCTGCGCGCGATTTCTACTTCCACAAAGAGAGCTTACGCAGAACGAGATGGCTGTCCATTCGATGTACTATCGGTGGGGTACATGCCAGGGGCAAGTCACGATGACCCATCGAGAGTGTCCGATGTGGTGTACCTCGTCCCCCTTTCAGGTGTCCTCTGCATCCTGCATCCTTCCCAAGCTGGTTTACCGGTGTCACGTGCCTTTTGCAGAGTGTTCCGCGTGAAGCCCTACGGCTCGAGGAAGTAGAATAACGAGCCAATGACAAGGAGAAGGATGTCACCATGGTCGAAGATTCAGGCACAGTAGCATCCAGACATGTTTGAACAGTCGCAAGTAGTCACTCAATAGACAGTTTCGATCCTCTCTCCCTCATGACCATTACGAACTTCTCTACATCTGACACGGTCGATTACGCCGTGCTGTCGTCGTCGTTTGACACGAGACACTCACAAACCAAATGATACTACAAACGAGCAATCGCAAGGTATCGGCCATGACAAAACCATTCGAACACAAAACAGGCGAAGATGCGTAGCAATCTCCGATAAACGATGCGTCAATCGACTGCTTTCATCTTTCACTGCCGTCGCTGTATGTAGGTAGAGCAGCTCCCGTCGGGGTGGGGGGGGAGTGAGGTGGGGTGATAATTGCTTACCATATAATGCTTTTGCTGCATTCCGAAATGAACACCAAACACATGCATCTAGCACGTGTTTAGTGAGCGGTAAACATGGACCCGCAATGCACGCAGTGAGGAAGGAAGGAAGGGACAAATGCAAAGAAATGTCAACAAAGAAGTACACAGTAGTAGCGAACGCGGGAAGCTGCAGCAAGAATGAAAAAGCGGTATAGGACAGGTAGTTAGAATCGAGAGACGAGATACAGATCTATCTGGACGGCCTACGAGTCGACTTAGTGTTCAACAATGTGTGACGATTCGAGTGAGTGAGCTTCAGCGAGTCGAACAGGGGAGTCTAGAAGATTGAGGAACGCACAAGATCGCTCGTACTTTTTCGAGGAGAAGTTATACAACACGGCAGACACGGCACGCGTGTTCGACTCGAGCTAGCGCAAACGATCAACTCCGTGAGACGTTATGGTAAGAAATTAGCGATAATACCACGACGGCTGCTTACCCTCTGTTGGACGTTCTGTCTCGTCGTTTGAGTACTTGTTAGCGAATCAGCACATCGAAAGACGTGTGTGTGAATATAGCTGCGAGAGCAAACACGGTTGTACTAGAAGAAGAAAAGCAGATATCACTTCCTTACGTATCGCTGCCCCTTCGGTACAACAAGCTAGGATAGTCTAGGATTGAAAAACGCGCGCATGTTGAAGAGCTGCGTGAATCTTGTGGTAGCTGAAAGCATCAACCATCTCGCGTCGTTGTTTCGATACGTGGCAAGCGGTCTCAAAAAAGTTGAGAAACTGAACGGCTGCTGTATTTGGTATGCATTCTTTAGCTGGCCGTATGAATTGACATGAAAGATGACCTACAAATGTACTGCTTTCGTCTATCTGCGCGGGATCCAGACTGACGGCAGGCAATTGTTTGGGAGTCGATGGGAGCACACGCCTTCAAGGCAGTCAATGACAAGTGGACAAGTCGTGGCATATCTTTGTGAGCAACCTCGAGTGGTTTCACGCCGTGTCCGTGAGCTGAAGATATTGGCGCTTGCCGCAGGTCATACGACATAGTGTGTTCGTCGACCGACGGCTGAAGAACTCGGGCACCGTACACTACATCCGTGGAGGATATCCGAAGCTACCATGCAAGTAAATCGTCTTTGACTCGGTGGCAAAAAGAATATAGCGACACAACCACGGCTGACCTTTAACAACTCATTGCAGCGTCGACTGTTCGTGACGACCCAAGCTAGCAGCACAGTTGGAGGCAACGAGTACAGGGTTCCACTTTTCATTAGGACTGAGATCACCACCAGATGCATATCTTGAAGATGAAAGGATGGAGCTAGCCTGTAACGCTGTGAGTCCGTTACATAAAATTGATACGAATGTATCAATTTTTGGGTATTATCTATTTAGATAATACTTAATCAACTACTCGAGAAGAGGTAATATTGGCGGAATATTACCCCCGAGGGTACTATTCTTAGGTGCTCCACTTTTGGTTGATGTGCTTGCATCAACCGAATTGACCACCAATCGCAGCTGGACGCGCGCAATGGGTGGTGAGCAAGAGACCCACATAGGAGACGTTAGTGTAAAATAGTTAGATTAAGAGGACAGATGATTTACAAAAGTACTTTTCCTCAGACTGAGCCTTCGTGTTTTGGTTACTTCGGTTGCGCTTCCTCGCCACGTGTACATGACGTCAGAAGCACATAGCCTTGTGTAGAGTATACACAAGATCTTACCGGTCATCTGGCAAGAAGCGTGCCCTGTTACATAGCCGCTATCGACAACATCGACCTTGTGAGTCAAGGGAGCAGGGCGCAGATGGACAGGTTTGAATTTTCTCTGCATTGCGTTATAGTTTAGCATTGATATTACGCGAGTCTACCGAACTCAACGCGAGCTAATGAAACTCTCCTCCGCGTAGCAAGAAAAGATCTGTTGCCATTTATCTAGCACCTGCTTTTGGACCTTACAACTTCCTATTTGCATTACTCCGCTAAAGGTGGTAGTCATGTAGACCTTTTATGTCGATATGAATTTGACGCTGCTACTCAGGGTAGACGTTATTCACCCATCTGCCACGCAGCTTCATATCGGTAGACTGGTAACGTAGTCCGTATGCACAAGTGTAATCCATGCAAGGATCGGCACTATCATGGTCATGTCGAACAGTGCACGACGGTATCGAACTTCAGGCAAAGGATACACCTACCTGACTATTGTTGATTACAGGTAAATCTCGGTCTATCTCCTCTTGGTGTTTTACGGTGAAGCGAACGACTTCATGTTTTGTTAGGACATGAGATCGTTTCGATTGTTGTAGCAGACGTACTAGTGAACAATCAAGCGAAAACTCGTAGAACCCCGACATTTGTATTCGATAATTGCGACAGCATTCGTCGACACCTGCCAAGTAGTAATTCGAGACATCAACATTGACGCCCTCTGACACATGAAACCAATTGCACGCTCTACATACTATCATTTGCTGCACAAATGATGCCCACGTGACAAAATTAATTTTGTGGGACACTAATTAAGAGGCCAACCATCGTGCACATGGTATGGCTATCAAGTTGTGTCTGAGGATATTATTTGACACGGCGTTTATGCGGGGTTTTGTCGCATCAACGACACTTCCTGCCATCTGGGTCGAGCGCCTCCACCGCATATACGACTATTCCTTAACACAGGAGGTACACACAGCCAGAGCCAAGACCTTCTTTTGACGGTCGGTTCGACGGTTTTGTTGATCAACATATCCGCCTGACGTGGAGAAGACGGGCACTCTTTGCGCAAGTGAGGTCAAAATTGGCTCATACTCTCTTGTGCTCCTATCAACCGCCTTCGTTGCACGTGATGCCTATCAAAGGGCTCCCTGGAGTGCTATACCTCCTGTTTTTGGCATAGGATCCTAAGGGAGTCCAGGTCCGGGCGAAGCTGGATCCTTCATTGTCCGACACCACATTCAGACGCATATCGCTTGCGTTATGTGGGTATTAAGAACAACTGATGGTTCTGCAGATACAACCACAAACAATATTGCGGAAAGTTGGGGGCTTGTTGCACGGTCTTCCACAAGGGAAGGCAAGTGGCTAATGTAACGGGGTTACACTACGTGTGTGTTTTACAAAAGGGACGGAGTCCCATT